TAACAACATCTTCAAAGCAGTATTTCATATTCTTTTATGGAATGTTGCCATCAATCTCCATGCCTTGCTAATTGTCATGTAAAACTGTGTTCAATGATAGACTATGAAAGCTTCGCAATTCCTTTGCCGGAAGGGTTTCAGAATCCAGCTGTCTGCTGATACCACCTTCAACCAAAAGATTATTAATATAATTAATGATTCTAATAAGCACTACAAAGGTTGTTTCCACAGCTTAATGGATTGACAACTGGATATCCTTACTAATTTCACTATTTCTACATTTGATAATGATGTCTACTCCCTCTCGAATTTGTTTAGCACCACTTTCCTAACTCCTGTTTTTCCTTCCTACTTAAGTCTGCTCTCAGGCTCCTCTTTAGCTAATTCTATATATTTTTTAGTATTCCCTAGTATTTGCTCCTTAGTTTCCTTCTCCCCCTTTATATTCTCTCTAGATGCTCCCTATTTCAACTTTCATGACCTAAATGACTCCTAGTTCCCTAATTCTAGCCCTAAGATCTAAAACCACATTCCTGCCTGTGTACCTAACAGACAACTTCAGCTTAAAGCCAAAAAAATCATGATACATTGCTCAAGGCAATGTTGTATCCAAAACTATATTCATCTTCCCCTCCCAACTTGCTGCTTTTCCTAAGAACCAACATTTCTACATATAAAAGTGAAACACTTTTGCATCATTGTGGACTCCTCTCTGCTTCCTTCTCTTCCCATAAACTAAGGATAGCCTGATCTCTTTCACAAGAGCTTCATGCTATGGTTTCTACTTGCTCTTCCAGCTTCATCTCCTCCCTCACCTCAGAATTCTCAGTCTTCTTATGTACACAGCATGCGCTCTTCCTTTCCTCTGCTGAGCTCTCTTCCTTACCTTGCTAAACTGCAGATTCCTACAACCTCTCAGATTTACCTCCAGCATCCCCTCTTGGAACCTGAGAATTGGTTCAATACTTATTGGTGACAGAGACCAAAGTAACTTTCGTTTGGTACTAGGGACAAGTCCTGGCATTACTGCTGATAAGCCTATAAATAAGACTACAAATAATTACAATGCAGTCTGCTATGTACCAGGGTGCCACGGTGCTGCGGCAGCAGAGGAGGCTTACACAATCACTATGTGTTACTTCTATCAGTTTTTCTTGTACTGAGCCTTGTAGATAAGTAGGAATTTGTCTGGTGGACAAGTTAGGTCAGAGGAAGGCATTAGATATCAGAGTACATTCTGGTAACTGCTAGTAAGGTGCACCACACAAGGGGAAATGAGTGGGGTTTGGGGGATAGAGAAGGATGGAGAGGGAGGGCTCACAGGAAGACCTCAAAAGGCGAACTAGCAGCCATGTGGAGGACACATTACAGAGGCCAGGTCAGAGGCTAGGAGACAACCAGGAGGCTACTGCACTACACTTAGCAAAAAATGATGCCCCAAAGCTGTGGCAGCGAGATGGGGGAGCAGGGCACAGAAGACAACTCTTTATCCTTGATCCAAAGTAAAGCCATTTCATCTTCACAAGAAGCCTAAGAGGTAACGTTCCTATTTTTAACTCGAGGAAACTCAAGCTCCTAAGGATGTTGCTCACTTGACATGACACAGCTTAGAAGCAGAAGCAGAGATACAAACTTCAAAGATGCTGCTCCTGAGTAGCATGTGTCAGTATCTTAAATGTATGTCCGAGTATAAAACAATAAATCATGTTTCACGACTAATTCTGGCCTGTTCAACTTACCAGGATTCCTAAGTAAACTTCCTCTTCCCATGGAGAAGCATAGCAAGTATATAGAGGAAGGAGAAATACCCGAGCAGATTTAGGGTTACATAGCAAGATCTTAATATTATTCTAAGATCTGTACAATTTTAGTAGAATATACAAATTCTAAAGTTACCTTATGGGCCTAGTTTAGTGCTACATTCTCCAATTAATAATTTTGCATGGACCACGGAGTTGAAAAGTAATTTTATTTGCCTGTAAAATCTCCACTCTGCCCACTTAATCTTATAGAGGTAGGACATATTAAAAAAAAAAAGAATATAAAAATAAAACAATATAGAAAACAAACTTATGGTTACCGGGGGTAAGGGGGGGGAGGGATAAACTGGGAGATTGGGATTGACATACACACACTACTATATATAAAATAGATAATAAGCACCCACTGTATAGCACAGGGAACTCAATACTCTGTAATGGCCTATATGTGAAATGAATCTCAAAGAGTGTATATATGTATATGTGTAACATTCACTTTGCTGGCCACCTAAAACATAACATTGTAAATCAACTATACTCCAATCAAAATTTAAAAAATAAAATTTTAAAAATAAAAGAAAAAATCTAAAAATAAATAATAAAAATAAAACGATGTGAAAATATGCTTAAAATGACATCAATATTCTGCCTTAGGCAATAGGCTTGAGGAATAAAATATTCAATATTTTAAAATCACTTACTTAACAAACATGCTACATGTATATTACAAAACAATGTGTTTGGCAATCTTTCTAAAATACAGAACATCACCTCTAACCAATGAGATGTTAAAGCTAAGTGAACATGATATTCCTCAAAGTTCTCCTTTAGTGTTCAGGGAATAGATTTCTTATTCTAAATTACTTTTCTAAAAAAAAAAAAGAAGCTAAGGTTAGAAATGACCAATTTCAGAAGAGATATACACCTACACAAAACGTAATCTACCAAACTATATAAATATTAATACAAGCAATATGGGTAACCCCTAAATTTCTTTCATTCTTTAAAACTCACAAAGGAGAGAGTGTAAGTTTACTAATCTACTTAACTCCAATGCTTCCTTCTCATTACAGAATTAAAGATTTATCTTAGACATTAAGAGGAAGATAGGAAGATTTGAACTGTTTTAGGTTAAAAAGCACCCTCGCCATGTCAAGTGTATTGATGGCAGCTATAAATAAAATACTGAGCCCAAATGTACAGTAACAGCACACCTGTAAATGCTGCAAGAAATGTAGTATACATCCTCAGGCCTTGAGACAAAGATAGCAGACAGGTTTCAACTCACATGTCTGTCAACTCCAGCAGATTAAGTAGCTACCTACAACAAAACGAGATTGGGGGATAACCTGACCAAAATGGAGCGTAAATGTCTTCCGTGGGCATAAGAGTATGGTAGCCTGCGTGCTACTCTTTGCCCTCAGCCTTATGCTGACAAAGACTCTGTACTGAAATATTTTTGTCTCTATTATGGATAGGCTATTTCATTATTGTTTCACACCAGATAATGCATCCTGCTGTAAAATATAAGTCAAATCAAGAGAAAAGTTTTGTGGGGTATTTGTGGTTTTGTTCTGGTTTTTGCTATGTCTGACAAAACAAACAATAAACCTAATATCTGTTTTCTAGAAAATACTATGTAATGGATGGCTACCATTACAATAACTAAGGTTATATTTTTAAAATGCTCTTCCTATTCATCTGGAAAATTAAGTGTTACATATAAATATGTATATATGTGTGTGTATATACACACACACAGTTTTAGGAGAAAACATCAGCATTTCAGCTTCGTAACTTAAATAATGTTAACTATGCATGTTTATTTGTAAAACTTCCCATAGTGAAACATGTTACAGTTACCTATAAACATTCATTTCTCACTACTTACAATTTGAATAATTATGAAATGTTTGTATATTGCAAGCAAGTTATAGAAAGTCACATAAACAATATAAATCTGATGCCCAGTCCTTTACAGATATGAAGTTATTTTCACTGGGTTTTCAAACTGTCAAGTATAAATAGGATGAGGTCACCAATACTTAGATGAGGCACTTGAACAATTACCCAAAAAGGTTGTTAAGTGTACAAAAGTGTAAAACAAAACTTTTGATATTAATCTTACTCAATTTCAGACGTGATTAATCTGAGATGGTCTATATTAAGAAGTGTTATAAACTTTTATTTTATTTCTTGCCCTTCTGCTTCCCCTTGACCCAAGGCAACATAACCGTGAAATAGACATCACCACAGACCAGTTAATGTGCTTCCATACAAAGAAACGAAACATTATTTAATGACATTGGGGTTTCAGAAAGTGACTATTTTACCACAAAAACTTGTGCATAATTTTTTTCAGACACATGGATAAATACACTGGTGACTCAAAGGCAAATCAGTATCTTGACCAAGTCCTAGACAAATAGGTCCTCAAATTTATTATCAACTGAATCAAAATTTTAAGTCTTACGTACTTTTTAAACACTGAATTTTTAAAATACTGAGAAATTTTAAAACTTAATTTTAAAAATAGAAAAATTAAAAAATTAAATTTATTAATATTTTCTAGATTACAGTTTAAGATTTAAAAAATAAGGAACAGATGCTTTGTCTTGCCAGCCTTTTGTGAAAGACCTTTTAAACATATATATGTGGCTAATTCATTTTCAACCTTAACATGTTCTCTGTATATTTACACTGTATCTTTTGGTAGTTAAAATATTAAACGCTTGATTAAAAGAGATCAATTCCTGTCGCTTCATGAATTCATAGTACTGTATTTTTCCCTACTGTCAGATTTCAACATACCTCTACTAGTAAAGAAAATAACTCAAATTTTAAAAGTTTATCCAATAGGGTTTAAAATCTGTGGTCCCATTAACTAATAGTTTTAGGTGAGAACAGTTAAATCTCATTAAACTTATTTAATTCTGATAGTTTATAATTTGAGTAATTTCTATAGCCCAGATACCCAAATGCTGTTTGACAAACATATGAGTTAGTTACTCATTGGAACATGGTTAGCCATTCCAAGTCCACTTATCAAAATCACTTCCTGTGTGTGTGCACATGAGCGCACATACACTCCTTAATTCCCTAAAACAGTTCTGCTCCTCTAAAGAGAGAAACTGTCTTTTGATCAGTATGCTACCAGACACCTATGTCTCTGCTAAAATCAGAAGATGGCCAATTTTCAAATAAATGGAAAGGGAAAATACTTATTTAGAACAACAAAAATTAAGCTTGGCAAAAGTAGTTACTTTTATTTACAATTGCATGTATTAAGATTACAAGAGAAACACTAGTGATACCATCTGAACAAAAGCAATGATTTATTGGTAATGGCAATGAACGAAATATTGAAAGTCTCTGGTGAGAATCAAGCAATTATCCAGGAGCTGTAGATCTGACTGCAATATGGTCTTCCAGTGTCTTTTGTACCTTAGTGGCTTTCTCCTTTTTTGCCAACTACCTAGGAAGAACAAAAATAACTTTATATGTACTTCTTATTGATTTAGAAATATGAGTTATTTTAAAAATAATATTACAAATTGTAATCATTTTTAAAAGCTGGTATTAATTTTTATCTTTGCAATTTTTTGGCATGCAGTATTATCTTCATTGTTGAAGCACACTGTGACCCTCCCTCCCTTCCCAGACTCTAGAAATTAAAAATAAAACACATGCAGGCTATTTTTGGTTTCCCACACTGTTTTAAGAAAAAGTAATGCAATTTTTCAAAACAAGGTTGACAGTTTAGAGAAGTTAATAAAAAGATGATGCTACATGAGTGAAACATATTTGGCATACTATTTTTAGGCAATGAGATATCAAATGCCTGCCGATCATAAAATAATGTACAATTAAAAGAGTATGCTAAACTTATGTCTTCATGCCCAGGATGACAGGTTTCTAGACTTTTCTATCAATATGCAGACATGCAATGAAAACAGATTAAAAATGACTAATTTGGCCTAGTTTCTATTTTTAAAAAACCCTGATTGCTACAATGTACTACTGAAATGATAAAGAATAAACCTTGTTTCAGGCAATGACTAGAAAAATTCTCTACTGAAGGGTTTAAAAAATGTTCTAGTTGCTATAAATGTAGCAGATTAAAAATATAAAGAATAAATTTGGTTTCTACCAATAGTTCTAGAAAACAAATCCTCTGTGGGAAGGAAGGCTCTAAAACTACATTCTAATCAAACAATTTACTTTAAATCTAAAGTTTATAACAATGTATTCTCATGGCAGAAATTCCTCTAAGGAAATCTACTTGCAAGCTATTGAACATATATTTATATACAAAAAATTTCTATGTATGTCTGTAAATATAATTTTCATATTTTAAATTGATTCTGGTCCCAATGGTAGTATCTGAATCAAGTAAAACTCACACAGGTCTTCAGTACAAGTCTGGTCTAAACTAGAACATGGCTGGGTCAATGTCATTCATGGGAAAAGATTATAAAAACCCTTTCCACTGAATTCCTAATCACATGATGCTAGAAATGCTGTTTTCCCCATCTTGAGGAAAATCACTTTTACTACTTTAAAATAACTCCTCTCTGATCCAAGGAAACCATGTGTTAAAAAGCCCAAGATGCCAAAAAGATACAAAAGGTAGTCTCATAAAAGAGTACGTGGATGACAGTTAAGAAATTTAGATTTTAAGAGCTGGGGGGAGCTTTCCTAAGAAAGAAGGGGAGGGGGCACTATCTGTACCACAAATGGATTTAAGCAGATAAACACTGAAAGCATTATTGATCATTATATTCCTTGGGAACACACAAAACACAGAGCTATTGGATTAAGCAAAAGAAAACAAAACCAACTAATATTAAAAATTTAAATTTTAACAGATGTGACACAGTAGAAGACATGAATCTGCATACTGTTTCACAGGTTGATAACTCTCAACTTGCCAATGTGTATTCTCTGTAAAAAAGAAGAAATTCAGCATTCCAATATGGAGTTTCTCACCCCAAAAGTAAAGCTCTTTTATTCATTTTTAAGTCTTTATATTACACCTCAGACAAACAAAAATTTTGGTACATCAAAATTAGATGTCAAAAATATTTATTCAGTAAAGAGTCCATTGATCTTCTATGTTAATATTTTAACCCAGCCTAACATCCAGTCCATAAGTCTTTCAACTGGCCTTGATCTCACTTGTGTTGGCAAAGCACAGGACATGCCCACAATTAATCAGCAAAAAGATTTTGGGGCTACAGTTCCAATGAGAAAATAAAACCCACGTCTCTCAAATTCAGCCTAATCAATATATTACACTAGTACTGATATAAAAGAACTTGATGAAACTGCTCGTATTTGATTTCCAAAATGATTCTATAGTTCCTAAAAAATAAAATTTAAACTTCAGATCAGATTAAAACATTAACTAGTTAAATCTAAAAACATTTACAACAATGTAAGTTTTATTGCAAAATTATTTCTCAAAATGTAGCACAAAATTAAATGAGACAGGAGAAAGTAAATTAAAAAAAGTAACAAAAAGTTGGGTGAGCAACCTGGTATGGTAATGAAATTAAAGCACCTAGTTGCAAGCCCAGAACAAAAACCAAAACAAATAAAAGGCCAACTGAGAAACATGACTAGAATGAGATCTGAAGAAGAGACAGTTGAGGAAATTTAGGTAACAAGAAGGCTGATCCAGATGATAGAAGCTGTAGAAATCTTGCCCCAACAATGGTGAGAACATGAGAAGGGTGAGAGCAGACAGGTGCAGAGAAGCAAGGAGGGGAGTAGAGTGAGATAAGGTCAGTCTTTATATTACTTCATTTTTAAAAATCTTCTGGTTTTAGTTCATTTGAGTTGGATTAAAAAAGCTGAAAAATAAACAGACAAAAATGTTACAAAAATAGCTGATACAGTGAATGGCCAGTTAAGAAAAGTCTATTTTTATTAGTCATAGAAAATCTTCTCTGCCTTTCAAATGCACCTCATTCCCTAAGAAGCAGAAGCCCCTTCATTTTTGCTCAGTTTTGTATACTTATATTATTTTTGTGTTCAAATAAAGCAATCCATGTAAAGAGCATATTTTAGCAAAGAAAACATCTACTTCCAATTAAAATGGCAAGCTTTTTTCATGCTGCAACACAAAGAATCCATTTACAACAGAGAGCCTAAGTATATATTATGATCTGGGCATAATGCTTCTTATGAGCCAAAAACAGACCAGTGGAAGGTATGTTCTAGTCTCCAAAATCTGAAAAGTATAACCTTCTAAAGCTGTAACAGCATGCAAGGTGGTCTCAGATTTCTAGCCACATACAAGATTCACCAGCATTACCTTAGCTCTGTCATCTTAGTGACATAAGGAGAAGATCAATGACATTCTGAAAACTAAAATTATCTGGAAACAACTCATACAACATACAAATGCAAACTGAAAACGCTACCAAATTCTATTTTATCATCCATTAAAATCATTTTACACAACTCTCTTCACTACACAGAGGTATCAAAACTTTCCTCTCTGTGCTGATAAAATACATGCCCAATCTATATTGAAATTTTAAATTCCAATTACTATGTACAATTCCTTTAAAATTCAGACTGACTAAATAAAGGAAAGAAGTGCCATACTTGACCCATCCTCGAATGAAGGACCTGCACCTTCCCACTTCCATGCCCAAGGTTCCTGTTTTCCATTCTACCTAGAGTGCCCACTGCTATCTTTTCCTCTATCCATTTCTACTCCCACAGCTTAGTTCTAGGCCCTTTTCCTCCACAAAACATTCTGATATTTTCCCAGCCATTCTTGGGAAGAAGGAAATATCACCAGGCTGGGAAAGGATGAGAATACTCTGTAGAGGAAGAGAGCCGTGAACTAAAGCTTTGATTAACTTTGATTAGCATTCCAAATGTTTGTGCATTACCCTTTAACAATATAAACTCGTTACTGGCAGAGCTTATGACTATACCTAGCATAGTACCACAGGGACAACAAGTACCATACCATGTATCGTTTATTTCCTTTACTAGAAACACCAAGCTCACTGATAGTTTTTAATTAAGTGACTCTACACAAGGCCAATTTCAGTTAAACATAAGCTAGCTTTTTAATTGCAGTTTTCCTACACTGAAGTTGTTGACTTAGCACAACATGAAGAAAACTGAAATATTAGCTTACTCTTGAAGAATAACCCTAGAGTTCAATGAATGACACGAGAACAAAACTCATTTGGAAACTACTGAAAGAAAATGTAATATTTATATAAGAAAGTCATTCAACCAATTAAAATTTATCAAACATTAAAAGCAATGGATTAAGAAGTCCAGAACACGAAGAAGGGAGTCCATTATAGCATTACATTATTTTCACAGCAGTTCTCAGTGTGGTCCAGGCTGGGCATCCCTGAGACCCTTTCATGGAGTCTTCAAGGTCAAAACTATTTTCATAATAATGCTAAATTGTTACTTGCCTCTTTAACTAACTCTCATTGTCTCACAAATGTACAATGAAGTTTTCCAGAGGTTACATGACTTACTATAGCAAAACTGACTGAATGCAGAAGCAGATATGAGAATGAGAGGATTCTATTAAGCTAGACTATAAACAAATTGGTCAAAGTGTAAAAACAATGCTCTTCTTCTCACAAAATTAGTTTTTGTTTTGAAATATATATATTTTAAAATATTACTTGTGTTAACAGTGATTTTATTTGTAAATAAATATTTTTTAAATTTCTCAGTTTCAACTTCTAAAATGGTAAATATTAGATAAATATTGGTCCTCAATAATCTTTAGTACTGTGAAGGGGTCCTGGGACCAAAAAGTTTTGAGAACTATTGTTCTGCCATAATTTTCAATAAGGTTAATAGCATTTTAAAACAAACACAAATACTCTCAGACAAGAAAAGAGAAATACCTTTGCTATCCTGAAGACAGTCCAAAAAAGGTAGTTTGATAGTCAAAAAAGAGAGAAAATAGGCTAGAAGGGATGTGAGGTGGGATGTTAAAAACAAAGAGGTGGAGACATCCTTAGATGGACAATTATTAATGCACATTGGAAAAACTATAACTGAATGGCAGGCTGGTAAGAAGATGGACAAGATAGAGTAGGGGTTACCTAAAGGAAAAATGGAAATCAAGTAGCATAAGCTGAGGTGAGAAGCAGGAAACCAGAGCCGAATTAATGATATGAGAAAATAATAGGATTTAGAATAATAGATCTTAGGAAAGAACTGAGCTAAAAAGAAACTATGCAAGGCATGGTTAAAGCCAAATCCAATGGCATTTAATTCAAACAAGCAAAGTAGCAAAGCAGGTGGCCAAAACGACTCTGTTGCTCACAGTTTCCCAGCGCAGCATATTTCATATCATAAAAACGTAGATGTTTAATCTCTGCTTCTTCTGACCTGTCATTATGTGCATGTCAAACATTTGACATGACAGATCTAATAACTGTTTCTAAACCTCCCAAAAGTTAACTATGCTGTGAGACAGAAAGATAGCAGTTGGAAAATGACATTAAAATATCTATTGTCAAGGTTATCAATTTTGCAAAAACAGCGTACAATTTTATAAGCTCATCCACCGTTATGAAATTTTATGAATTTTTCTGTCATTGGATTAAAATTATATCTGCAGTGCTATCAAAAAGAATACGCTTTCAGGGTGTTCCATGGCTCCAATTCCCCAAACAGGGCTCTAAGTTTTAAGCCAGGTGCCTCTTCCTCCAGGCATTGACAGTGCTAGGGAAACTCTTCCTCTCTTATAATCACCCCAAGTTCTAGACTGCCCGCCAGATGCAGCCATCAGAAACACAAGTAAAACCTACATCTCCGGTGCTGCTGCACATTTAGTCTGTGTACAGCAACCGGGTTCTGTACTGATAAATACATCTATGATCTGTGGTTGTATATTTTAAGAGTCATCCTAAATGAACTGTTACCAATTAGAAGTAGTTCCAAGAATGAAAAAAATGTTCTCTTTCCTAAAGGTCCCATGGAACTTATAAATTCTTTCACAAACTTTGGGACTATGTCCTCAAAAACAAAAAACAAAAAAATTCACTGAATACCTCCATATATGCCTGTTCACTGAATAGTTATTTGCTGAAATGTGTTCTTTCAGCACGAAGACATGGTTTGAAAGCATCTCAGTGTAGTAAAACTGAGTCCATTCTTTTTGATTAAAATTGTCATTTTAAATATGTTTTCATCAGAAACAATGATAATCAAAATCTTAATATAAGCAAAGTTCTTAAAAATTCATTAATAATGATTTAACTTACTACTACTATTTTTCATTATTCCTAACTACTTTCTATAACCAAACAATAATTTTTACCCCTCTTATTTGGATGCCATTCATTAATAGACACTATAACAGTAGGACTTATTTTTATTAGAGATTTCGTTTAGTAAGAAATCTAAAAATGTGATTAGAAGAACCTACTGTTCTGTTTAACCTTATAAAATTTCATGACATATGATTTTGACAGCTTTAAAATTATTTCCTTAAAATTGTTATTTTTATTTCTCCTAGCTATCATTTAAACAAACTTACTCGTTTGAAGTCATTCATATTTGTTGCCTGGACTGGAGTCCCAATAAAAGTAAAATATGAAATTCTTGTTGTTTCTTCTTCACCCTGATTGGACTGAACAAATATCTACACACACACACACACACACACACACACACACACCAAAAAAAGGAAAGAATTTTTACATTAATGATTACACGCCTTCTTTTATAAACATGCTTTAAATTTAATCAATTTCCTTAGGTTATTAATAAAAATATCTTCCATTCTTTGTAAGGATTAATCCAAATTACATTTAGACTAGTACTCCTATAGCATTATTAATTCTATTGTTTGCCCAGCTGTTCTTACCTTCTCCAGGGATGTCATGGCAAGACACTCACATACACAAGTTCTTGATGATTTAGTGTGATGGTGTAGAAGGGTCATAGTTAACTTATTTACAAAGAATGTTGAAAGGGTATGAAATTCATGATTACAATGGGCAGAGTGTTACTGAAACTTTACTAAAATTATAATTTTTCACTGAGGAAAATCTCTGCAGTTATATTCTTTCTGATAATCCTTCATTCATTCTATTTCCTACAATTTTAAAAGAAAAAAATAGTACTGGAAATAGGGTCCTAAAACTATACTGTGGCTTACATGTTTTTTCAAGCTTGGCTCTTTACCCTTTCTATTTAAAAACTCCCCTCAGCATGTTAGGAGACAGAAACTTTACTCATAGATCCTTTTTCAATATACTGAATTTTTAAAATTTGCCCTATTTAAAAAAATAATACTCTACATGCTGTCTACTTAAGATTATTGCCTCTCTTGAATTCAGCAACATACTTTTTTCATTCTCAGATGGCACTAAGCAATCAGTTTTTGTTGTTTTTACAGGAAACCACAGATTCATCTCAAACTGAGCTATTCAATTAAAAACTCTAAGTCTATAAGTGGACTATTAAACTAGCTATCTATTTATTTGCAATGCTTTTTTAATCTAAGCACAACAGTTTATATTTACTGCTTTTAAAATCCATCTACTTATTCTGATTAGACTTCCTGATCAAAGCTGTCATTTCAATTTCAATTTTATCACCAAAAAAAGTGACAGGCATGCTTTCTCTGTTGGGATTTAAGTCACTGACTAAAATTTTGATTTTGATAGGACACAGTGAAGACTGTGAACCTATCACAAGATAACTATGTTCAATGATTCTCAAAGATAAAGGAGATTATATTAGGATCTCTGGGTTTAAAGGGCTTTTCCAATAAACAAATGCCTTCCTCCCATCACTAAATAAAGTAACAGGTGTTATTAATTGAATGTTACAAATATGAGTAAAGTCAAAAAATATTTCATAACCAGTGTTCCAGTATAGTATAACCATTTTCTGTAATTTCATCTGGTTAAAATATTTCAACTACTGAAAACTCAACTTTATATAATCTTTCATCTTACCACCATCTTACCATCATATACCACAAGTATATTCTGTGAAATTCTACTTTCTGAAAACCTCGTAAAATGAACACATGCTATGGCATTCTAATTTACAAAAACCAGAATCCACTAACACAAAGAAATCACATTAGCTTGGCATGCCTTGTTCTCAAGTGACTCTGTGCTGGTTCCCACTCCTTTTTCTAGGTATTCTACTATTCTTTTATAACCCTCCTACCCCCTCCTCTGAAGGAACGGGCTAGGGTGGACAGGTGGTTTAGGAGCATGTGTTGGGTTTTAATACTAAAATTCACAAAAGCAATTAATAACTGCTAAAAAGCTGCTGCTTTCTTAATGTAAATTAAGATAATATAAAACTATCTTTTAAAAGCCATTTTTACTGAGATCGCGGCCACTACACTATTAAAAACTCTATATTCTAGAAAAGTAAATTGGACTTTACAAACGTATCATCACTCATCACCAGGTATGAAGGAAGCACAAATATCTTCTACTTAAGTATAAATGTTCTAGAATAAACTTTTAACAAAAGCTGCCAAAGATGTATATGTAATATATATATATGTAAACTGACAAATCCACAAATTAAAAAAAAATCAATCCGTCTTTCCTCTTTAGGGCACACAGATGAATTAGAAAGAAGAAAATTCAGTTAGCTCATTAGACATGTTTATGCATTTCAAACCAAGTGGACAATTATTACTTTTAAGGATCACTTGGAATCAGCTAGGATACTAAAGATGGCATGAACTGTCACCCACAACCCGTTAAATATATCTGAATGAAATATTACTTACAGTTACACTGTTAACATTCTGAAACTTTACATAACGAAGTGGGACAATACCATCTTCTTTAATATCATCCTCTGTTAGTTCCAGAGCTTGAGTTGGCTCACTTCTTTCTGCCTCTTCAAAATCCATAGACCGGGGTAGATTGATAAAAATTTTTACATACTTAGGACCCTGACCTATAAAATGGTAGAATAAAATTAAATGCTAACGCCAAACATATTACTGGTATATTCTTGGCCTGCTAAAACTATACTAAGTACTAGGAATACTAGATGAAAACACATACATATATATGTACATGCATAACATATACACAGAGTTCTTGCCCTCAACTATAAAAGACATACTATGATACATGCACAACTCTCAGTGAGGAGGTACAGGGAAGGTGGCAGTGGAGTCTGACAGCACATGCAGGCTGACAGAAAGTTTCATAAAAGAAATAACATTGACATGGGTCTTGCAGTTGCCATCAGTTGGTACATTTTGTTATTTAGGAGGAAAGCACTATCAGTGACAACATTTAGCCAGAAGGAAATTAATTACACAAACTACCAAAATTCATCTTAGGGATTAGGATGTGCTCAGTGGTAAAATCATATTGATAGAGTGTCTTAGTCCTTTTAACTTCAGACCAGTGTTTTGTGACTGATTAAGGAATCTTAAGATAGTCACACTGCTTAAATACTCATTTCTATAGCATTTGCTTTTATAAATACTTTGTATTCTCAGAATAAAGAAACAATTTTATTAGTGAAAAGTCATTAATACACGAAAATTTAGAATAGCAAATGATAAGGGAATGCTACCTGATAAGCGTACTGCTTCTCCCAACCAACTAAAAAACCAGAATCCTAGTCCCCACTGCCCACCCCATGCCCCCACCCCTGCCCGCCCCAACCAGCAAAAAACACTTCAGTAAGAAACAGAAAAAAGGGGGTGGGAGGGTGAATAGCACAATTCTTTATTTAATGAAAAGAAAAATGCCAAGTTTGTACAATCATGTTTACAGCATCATAATATGTATAAAGAAGATGAAACTATAATTAGAGCACAAATAGGAAGATCCGGAGCCTGTCTTATCACCTATAACAGGAGGAATGTGAAATAATTCTCCCAGTTCTGATCCTGAAAAACAGCTACCTCAACCCTAGAATCTTTAGTTGGAAGAAAGGGCTACCTCGTTTTCAGATTAAAAGGGAACTTAAATTCTAAAATAAAAAACTTTGGAAAAAGGGTAAACGTTTCTTTTTTTATTACTTTCGGTCCAATAATCTCACATTATTTGCCCACTGCTTTGTTCTAAGAACAATTTCACTCCTTCCCAAAACAAGAAATCTTTACCTCTATTTAATAAAAAGTTTTAACCTAAGTGTCCATCAACAGAATGGATAAAGAAGATGTAGTAAATATATATACAATGGAATCCTACTCAACCATAAAAAAGAATGAAATTTTGCCATTTGCAACAACATGGATGGACCTGGAGGGTATTATGCTAAGTGAAATAGGTCAGACAGAGAAAGACAAATGCTGTATGATATCACTTACTTATATGTGGAATCTGAAAACTACGACAAACTTGGGAATATAACAAAAAAGAAGCAGACTCACAGATAAAGAAAACAAACTAGTGGTTACCAGTGTGGAAGAGGGGAGGAGGGAGGAGCAAGATAGGGGTAAGAGATTAAGAGGTACAAACTTCTATGTATAAAATGAATAAGCTACAAGGATATACTGTACAACACAGGGAATACAGCCAATATTTTAGAATTACTATAAATGGAATAACCCTTAAAAATTGTGAATCATTATGTTGTACACTTAAAACTTACATAGCAGTATACATCAACTATACCTCAATTTAAAAAAAAAGAAAAGAAAAAAAAGAAAAGTTTTAAATATGTGCTAGCAGGTCTACAGAGCAGAAAGTTAGTTTAAAGAAAAGCTGCCCATTACTCACCATTATCCGGCCCTTGAAATTTCATTGAATAAAGCTTAACAGGCTGATTGAATGCCACGGTAATAAGTAGCTGTGAAGAAAATAATAGTTTCATTTTTAAAGGACTGTTGAACACCTTAAATAACACAATAGCTAAGGAGATTTAAATAATTAAGCAGCAGACAAAATTTAATTCATCTAACAAAACCAATGTAATACAGAATATCAGTAAGTTGAAAGTAACTTGATTAGGTTGACATTTGAGAAATACATTAATGTATTATTCGTATAAAGAAATAACAACAAAATTTAATAGAATTAACTAAAATTATATGTAAGAACCTAAAGTCTTGTAACCTAAAACTGATAAGCAATCTGCTTTCCAAAAAAACAAACAAAATCCCGAAATTAAAATTTAAACTATATATTTTAGCATATTAAGCTTATTATTTTGCAAAACAATTTATTTGTGGAAGCATCCACCCACGTCACTTGACAATTTGGAGACAATGCACACAGGCTACGTGGAGAGACTAGACCTCAAATGAACTCTATTTGATCCCAAACTCAAGAGAACAGGACTCACAGCTCTAACAGTAACCTCCAAACCTCCATCTTAAATTTATCTGACTAACTGAATCTGAAAAGCCAGGTAAGGGAACTGGAACACAAAACAATGCCGAAATGCCTGTCTCTGATTCATTCACTCAATCTTCTTTCCAGCTAAAATTCTGTCTGATGTAGGTACCTATGCTTCTACCCTGGGAGGAAGATTTCCTTGGCAGGAAGATTTCAGGGAAGCTGTAGCCAGTCCTTCTGATATGCATCACCACATTATTTCAGGGCACCATTTACAAGGAGCACAATGTGAATGATATTCTCAAAGCTATACAGTAAGGTAGCTCTGGCTGGAGCAAAGAAAGATGGGATTTGGATTTATGATTTCAAATCACTGTGGTCTATTTGCTTAAGAAAATACTTAAATTACTCCCTTTGGTTATGTAAGTACCTTTTATACTTGACCTGTAATTGTGTGCCAGAAAATAAGCATGACATGCTTAGAGACTTGAACCACAGGTGAAGAGGATTATGAGAGTAGAAAGCTAGAAGCAGATAAAGTCAGCAAGAATATGACACCTTCTTCCTGAAGTCACTGAAGAACCATTTAACTCTTTTAAGAAAGAGAAGCATGATCAGATTTATATTTTAGAGAAATAACTTTTGTGAACATGTAAAAGATGAACAGGAAATGGGAACAAAGCAGAGGCAATGGAATAGAAATTAAATTAAGGAAAATAACAGTCAAGATGAAGACAGAGATGGCTTGATAAAGGCAGTACTATACTACACTACTTCCTCTGGAACAATAACGCTGGGAATTATAGGGAACTACAACAGGTTTACATCTGGGAGTGTGGACTAGACATACAGGGAGGGCTCATCTAATTAGTTTCTATTTCTCAGGGACAAAGTCGTGTAGGAAGTATGAAGGCAAGTCAAGAATGAACAAAAGGACTTAAGAAGAGTGAAGGCTCAACTCAGCCTTCGGGGCAATCCAAGAGATCGGTGATTCTCCGCAGTGCAGCTGGCATAGAAGAACAAAGAAACGAGGGGGGTCTGCAGGGTCAAAGGACAGGGGTGAAGTTATAAAAAGGAAGAAAGAAATGAGCATCTGGAAAAGAGAAACATGAAATCCTGAGATGGAAACCTGAACAAGAAACAGCAGGCATAAATACTGATAATCCTTACAAGCCTTAAGCATTCGGTTACCTGTTCATCACAATCAGATTCCAAGAAGGTCATGTCTTTTCGTAAACAGTTGTCAAATCCATGCTCGTCGCTTTCATTAAGACATTCACAGCCAGCTTTGTTAATAAAAGGCATTAAATCCATCTGAAAAAAATTAAACCAAGACTTTAGGCAAAGCATTTGGATTTGGTATAAAAATCTTAATAAGAAATGTAAATATGTGATTCTTTTTTTTATTGTACAATATTGTGTTTCCGGGGTACAACACAGTGATTAACAATTTTTAAAGGTTATATTCCATTTATAGTTACTATAAGATACTGACTATTCCCTGTGTTGTACAATACATCCTTGTATGTGATTCTTTTTTTCTAAACTTTTTATTTTATATTGGAGTGACTCTCTCGATTAAGCAATTTTAAAGAAAACTTATATCTCATTTAAAATAGTTACTAAAACTTTTATAATAACCCTTTCATTTGAACTTCTAACTGACATCTATCACTAATAATTAAAGCCAAATTTAGGCTTAGCCCACTTAATAAGAATCCAAAATCAAGTCTTTAACACAAAGATTATTAAATGTTGACTTATACATTTTTTAATAGCAGTGTTTTGAAGTGGAAAATATGCAAATTAAAATATCTACAAAATATCCAAAGAAAGCCTACCTCCCTCTTCTAGTAATCATGCACTCTTTAAACCTATATCCGTGAAGAGTTTAAAGATGAATAGCAAATAACTATTTAAAAAATTTTTATCATGGAAAATTCCAAACATACACAAATAGACTAATACAGTGAACCTCAGGTATCCACCTCCCAGCTACAATAATCATCAACTCATGCCCACTCTTATCTCACCTTTACCCTGTAACCATTCCCAACCTTTCTCCCAATTATTTTCAAGTAAATTTTAGACATTTTTTTCATTTCATTCATGAACATTTCAGTGTGTTCACAAGAGATAAGTACTCAAAAAAAAATCCTCAGTATCATTATCACAACTAAAACAATTTTAATATCATCAATATCAATGTTCAAATTTCTTCAACTGTCTCATAAATGTTTTACAGTTGAAATTACTGAGTCTCAGAATAAGAATCCAAGAAAAGTACAAATACCGTATTTGGTTAATGTCTCTTAAATCTCTTTTAATCTATAGTCATTTAGCCTATAGATTTCTTATATTCTGGATTTTGCTGAGTGCTTCCCTGTGGCGTCATTTAACATTTTCCTGTATATGTTTTGGCTAATACTTTCAACACAACGCCATAGAGCTGCAGTGACAGTGGTCATCCCTGTCTTGTTTCTGACTTCAGTGGGAATGCCTCCAGTACTTCCCCATTAAAATTTTATTGAACACTTTAGGAATAAATAGATATTGCACTCTGTCAAATGCTTTTTCCCCATATTAGGAAATCATGATTTTTCTCCTCTAGATTGCTGAATTTTGTTTACTAATATTTTATTTAAGATTTGTACACCAATATTCCTAACTGGAACTGGTTGGTAGCTTTCTTTTTTGCTGCAAACTTTGTCAGATTCTGGGATCAATGTCATAACTTACTTCAAAATGAAACTTTTAAGTTTTCTCTCTTTTTATACGGTCTTGAGTAGTTGCAGTTAACACAAGACTACCTGATCTTTAGAGATTTGGTAGAATTTCCCTGTGAAGTCATCTTGGTATTTATGTAAGAGCTCTTTTACTATTTTCTCTACTTCCTCAATGGTGATTGGTCTATTTAGGAGTTCTGCTTCTAGTGGAGTTGATTTTGAAACTATTTTTCTAGAAAAGTATCCATTTCACCTACTAAACAAAAACTGTTTTTAAAGTTTACCAAGTAATTTAAAAAAAATAAAAAATAAAAAAATAAAGATTACCAAGTATTCTAAGTTATCAGATACATGTTCACCATTCTATCAGTCTTCATTACGAATACTAATACACATACTAATACATGTGTATATGGTTCTGAAAGACTAAAGAAAACTTTACATTTCAAATAATTATCAATATGGTAATAATCCATTAGAATATACCCTTAATTATTCATAGACTAGCCTAGATGCTTCCAAAGCCAAAATATTCTTTTCTATTATATCAAATGTTACATTGCATTAGATGTTAAATGTATTACTCAGGGTAACATAATGTAGCCAATTCAAAAAGGGAGGCAGGAAGAAAAGGAGCACTACACAGCTAAGTTCTACTACTACAGAATTATTCTGAACTTCTTGAACATTTGCCTTGAAAATGTGACAAAATCTTTCAAACATTTGCCTACCATCCTACCGAGATGCCTCTTCCATACTATATGCAGGATCAAGACCCCAGGCTTGAAGACAACATTGCAGTCGTACTTCCAATACCTTAATGATGAAAATAAACTAAATAGGTAAATAATTTAAAATTGCTTTTTAATTTATCATGGGGCACACAAAACAAGTATCATATTTGAACAGTTGCATTAAAGTGCTCTGTTTTACAACACTGTCTGGGACAAACTGGCATAATATTGTATACTTGACATAACTGCAAACTGACATATTTGGAAAATATGTAATTGGAAATAAGTATCACTACTTATGCAATCAACTTGCCAATAATGAGGAAAGAATCATGAGAACACAATCAGACAAATCCAGACTGTGGGACACTGTGTAAGACAAATGGTCCAGACCTGCACTGTACGATGAGACCGCCATTAGCCACGTGTGTAAATTTAAAACTAAGTCAATTAAAAACATATAAAACTAAAAATTCAGTTCCTCAGTTGCCCCAGTCACATAAAAAATGCCACATGTGCCTAGTGGCTACTACAGTAGACTGGCGTTGCTTTAAACTTTAAAAAAAGGCAGTCATGGGACTTCCCTGGAGGTCCAGTGGTTGGGACTCTGCGCTTCCAATACAGGGGGCTCAGGTTCGATCCCTGGTCAGGGAACTAGGATCCCACATGCCGCATGGCACAGCCAAATTAAAAGGCAGTCATGAAAGAAAAAAGGCGGAGAGAAGTTTCTAGACTAAAGAACACTAAAGAGATTGACAACTTAAATGCAATGCATGACCCTTGATTTGATCCAAGATTGGGGAAAAACAGCTATAAAGTATATTTTGGAGATATATTAAGGAAATCTGAATATAGGCTGTACATTAGGGATAGATATCATATCAATGTTAAATTTCTTAGAAGTGATAATGGTATCATGGCTATACAAGAGAATGTCCTTGTTCTTAGGAGCTCCATGCTGAAATATTCACAGATGAACCATCTAGATGCCTATAACTTACTCTGTAAATGATGCTGCAAAATATAAAAGCAGATAAATACATATCAAGATAGAACAAAAACAGGGAAATATTCACAACTGATGAACACAGGTGAATGACATGCATGTTTATAACACTACTCTGTCAACTAGATTTTTTGTTTGCTTGAACAAATTTCACCTTTGGGGGGAGGAGGTGAGTGGAATCCAACATGAGACACACAGGAAGTTAGAAAGTTTTTGGTTAAAGAAAAATCTGTTCTACCTACTACATAAATTAGGGACATTTAATGTTTATTTTGATGCATGTGACATATTTGTAGACCAAAACCTACAGGTCAGAGGTTGGAACACTGAAATACACTAATAAGTCTCAAGATTTAGAACACATGTAAATACAAGTTTGATTCCAGAGTGCCTAGACTGCAAACTTCTAGAGAGGAAGACTTGATATTGATAGCCCCCTCATGCGATTTGAAGCCATACTAGGTACTCTTATAAAATATGGGATTGTAAAGCAATTATACTCCAATAAAGATACCTTTAAAAAAATAAATTATGGGGGCTTCCCTGGTGGCACAGTGGTTGAGAGTCCGCCTGCCGATGCAGGGGACATGGGTTCGTGCCCCAGTCCGGGAAGATCCCACATGCCACAGAGCAGCTGGGCCCGTGAGCCATGGCCGCTGGACCTGTGCGTCCGGAGCCTGTGCTCTGCAGCAGGAGAGGCCACAACAGTGGGAGGCCCGCGTACCGCAAAAAAATTAAAATAAAAATTAAAATAAATAAATAAATAAATTATGGGACAGGAGGGGTGGGAGGGAGATGCAAGAGGGGGGAGATATGGGGATGTATGTATATGTATAGCTGATTCACTTTGTTATAAAGCAGAAACTAACATACCATTGTAAAGCAATTATACTCTAGTAAGGGTGTTAACAAAATAAAATGAAATAAATAAAATTTTAAAAATAATAAGTAAATTAAAAAAAGAAAATAGGGGAGAGAAAAAATAGAATGTTTAAAACTTTCCCAACTTCTAAAGAGATACTTGGGGCAGAGACTTATTTTTTTCTTTCTGGCTGCGTTGGGTCTTTGTTGTGGCATGTGGGAGCTTTTTTGTTGTTGTGGCGCATGGGCTTCTCTCTAGTTGTGGTGTGAGGGCTCCAGAGCACGCAGGCTCTCTGGTTGAGGCACATGGGCTCAGAAGTTGTGGCGCTCGGGCTTAGCTGCTCTGCAGCATGTGGGGTCTCAGTTCCCAACCAGATACCGAGCCCGCGTCCCCTGCATTGGAAAGTGGATTCTTTACCACTGGACGACCAGGGAAGTCCCAGGGTGGGGAATTTATAGCACTAAATGCCTATATTAGGCAAGAAGAAAGGTCTCAAATTCGACCTTAAGAAACTAGAAAGAGAAGAGCAAATTAAACCCAAAGTAAACAGAGAAAAGAAAATAATAAACATCAAAGCAATGAAATGAAAAACGATAGAGAAACTCAATGAAATCAAAAGCTGCTTCTCTGACAAGATCAGTGAGTTAAGAAACATCTAGCCAGAGTGGTCAAGACAAAAAAATCCCAATATTAGGAGAGGTGACAGTACTACAGTTTCTTTAGATATTAAAAAAATGAGAGAATATTATGAACAATATTTTGCACGTAAGTTCAACAACACAAATGAAATGGACAAATTCCTTGAAAGACACAAACCACCAAAGCCCACTCAAGAAGAAATAGATAACTGGATTGTTTACCTATTTTTAAAAATTAAATTTGTAGTTAAAAGTCTTCCCACAGAGCTTCCCTGGTGGCGCAGTGGTTGAGGGTCCTCCTGCCGATGCAGGGGACGCGTGTTCATGCCCCGGTCCGGGAGGATCCCACATGCCGCGGAGCAGCTGGGCCCGTGGGCCATGGCCGCTAAGCCTGCGCATCCGGAGCCTGTGCTCCGCGACAGAGAGGCCACAACAGTGAGAGGCCCGCGTACCGCAAAAAAAAAAAAACAAAAAAAAAAAACAAAAAAATCTTCCCACAAAGAAAACTCCAGGAACAGCTGGCTTTACTATTAAATTCTAACAAATATTATAGGAAGAAATAGTACCCATTCTACACAAACTCTTCCAGAAAATTGAAGAGGAGAGAATATTTACTAATTTAATGACACCAGCATTACCCTGATACCAAAACATACAAGAAAGGAAACTACAGACCAATGTCCCTCATATACATAGAGGCAAATATTTTAAACAAAATTTTAGCAAACCTAATTCAACAATATATTAAAAGGATAATGCATCATAGTCAAGAGTGGCTAGAGTATGCTAGGTTATGGTAGGTTGGTTTAACAGGCAGAAGTCACTCAATGTAATTCACCATGTTAAGAAACAAAATGTTGAAATATGATCATCTCAATGGACACAGAAAAAAATATTTGTAAGAATCTAATACCCATTTCTGATTTTAAAAAATTCTCAACAAATTAGGAATAGAAGAGAATTTCTTCAACCTGATAAAAGGCATATATGAGAAACTTCCAGCTAACATCATACTTAATAGTGAAAGACTGCATGCTTTCCCCCTAAGATGAGGAACGAGTCAAGGATGTCTGCTTTCAATACTACTGTGGAAAAAGTCACTATAGTAAGATAAGAGAAATAAATAAAAGACAACAGGATTGGAAAAACAAAATTTTTTCGAACTTCAATAAACATATTAAAAACTCAAAGTCATGATGTTTACAAAAACACTGTATTACTTCCGATTTTTGATTCTTAACCTTTTGAGTATCATACCCTACATCTTTTGTAATATCTCAAACCCCTCGAAGAGAGATATTTCTTTCTTTCACTCTGGCTCCAGTCAAATCAGGAGTTTCAAAACTATAGGATGTGTGAAATCAATAATTATATAGCCTTTTAGCATTTAAACGTAATGAGAGAAAGTCTTTATTCTAAGAAACCTAAAATTTTATTTTAAAATTGTCAATACATTTTTGTAATACTTATATTTAAATCTACTTTAAGATACAGGTTTTCATTCAGTTTCCATTTGTGTTGTGAAAACAATGCCGTTCTTGGGAACACATTACCAGTTTTAAATATTTAATGACCCTATAAGACCTATAGTTCAAAACTTTTAAAGTCTTCATTGACACCTGATGGAAAAAAATGAAAATGTTTTTAACAGCTTTTTACTTTGTATTCATAACATCTGGATGAAATTAAATGTCTTATTTCCTAAAACGTCATTTTTCCCTGCTTATTTCCTACCCAAAGCCAAAACCCTGATATCACACTTAGCTGATGTAAAGAAGTATCGCTGCAGCTAAGCAGCCAAGACTGTTGTGCCCATAAGACTTTTTCATGCAAAAACCCTTACTAATAAAGGAAAAAATACAAAGAAGTAAACACAACTGTTTACAAGTCAAATGATTTCCAAAATTTTCCAAAAGGCGTCATAACCCTGACTTACACATGTTCACACTTTCTAACTGAATATTACCATTTCAAATTATCATATAACAGTTCTATTTTAAATAAATATTAATTATTAAGTCCTTAACTTAAAGTAATTAATGCCACTACCACATGTTAAAGACACTTTCTGAAGGCACAACTCCCCCTCCACCCATAAACACAAAAAGAATCTCTCATATATACCTGACTACAGGTTCTCCTTATTCAACATGAATTTAAGGGCCTTACATAATGACTGGTAGCTCCATGTTTTAATGTACTTGGTGGACTTCCCTGGTGGTCCAATAGTTAAGAATCCTCCTTCCAATGCAGGTGACACAAGTTTGATCCCTGGTCAGGGAACTAAGATCCCACATGCCGTGGGGCAACTAAGCCCGCGCACCACAACTACTGAGCCCGCAAGCTCTAGAGCCCGTGCACCACAACTAGAGAATTCATGTGCTGCAACTACTGAGCCTGCACACTCTGGAGCCTGCACACTACAGCTACAGCCCACATGCTGTAACTTCTGAGCCCACACGTTCTAGAGCCCACGCGCCACAACTAGAGAGAAGTCCTCACACCACAACGAAGAGGCCGTGTACTGCGACAAAAGATTCCGCATGCCACAACTAAGACCTGACTCAGCCAAATAAATAAATAAATTTAAAAATTTTTAAATGTACTTGTTACACATGCTTTCATATACTAGCTTTAACTTGAGGTAACACTTTTTAAAAAAAAATCATTTTTAATCTGCCAACACAATAACTTTATAACAAGCAAAATTAAAAAATATATATACAAATATTATTTTGGTAGGCAGGTTTTACCAATTTGCATAAACAAGTCAGCTACCATGAAGTGGTACTTCTGAATTTTACTTCCTTCCTGAATAGCTCTCATATGATAGACACAAATTATGACTATTCATATTATATAGTTTTCAAAAACTTTGACATTCTTAAGTCTTCAAGTTATTATTTAGAATAATAACTCTTAAAAGTTTGAAAAACATATCCAGTACTAAAGTCACATTTGGTTTTAAAACAAAATCAATAACTAGGGTTTTTAAATAGATACATTTAAAAAGAGGGAGAAAACTTTAGAAACCAGCAGAAAAGGGAGTTCAGTATGTAATGGTCATACACTAAAATTTACATGCCATTTTACACAATTGTCAAAAAGTGAAAAATTTTTCCAATGAAAAGTTTTTCACTTTGGGAGGGAAAAAAAGTAAAAAACAAACGTATAAAAATGGCTTTTGGGACTTCCCTGGTGGCACAGTGGTTAAGAATCTGCCTGCCAATGCAGGGGACACAGGTTCGAGCCCTGGTCCGGGAAGATCCCACATGCCGTGGAGCAACTAAGCCTGTGCGCCACAACTCCTGAGCCTGCGCTCTAGAGCCTGTGAGCGACAACTACTGAGCCCACATGCCACAACTACTGAAGCCCGTGCACCTAGAGTCCCTGCTCCGCAACAAGAGAAGCCACTGCAATGAGAAGCCCGTGCACCGCAACGAAGAGGAGCCCCCCATTCACCGCAACTAGAGAAAGCCCGCGCGCAGCAACAAAGACCCAACGCAGCCAAAAATAAAATAAAACAAAAATAAATAAATAATTTTTTTAAAATGGCTATTAAAATAGTTCAGAAAGCAGATTAAAAAACAAGTGGCAGGGCTTCCCTGGTGGCACAGTGGTTGAGAGTCCGCCTGCAGATGCAGGGGACACGGGTTTGTGCCCCGGTCCGGGAGGATCCCACGTGCCGCGGAGCGGCTGGGCCCGTGAGCCACCGCCGCTGGGCCTGCGCGTCCGGAGCCTGTGCTCCGCACCGAGAGAGGCCACAACGGTGAGAGGCCTGCGTACCACAAAAAAATAAATAAATAAAAATAAAAAATAGTTTATGATGGGGGCTTAAGGTTATAACACACACAACACAGACAAAATCAAATAGTCAGCTATTACATTTACTTTTAAAGTTCTTAACTGAAAGTATTCTTAACTAGCAAAAAACAAAACATGAAAACAGTGAACTTCACTTCAACCAAATAATGACAAATGCAAGACACATCATGATTTCACTTTTAATTCTACATACATAGCCTTTTGGAATATCTGTGTCCTCGTTGCTTCCAGGGTCGTTTTCCAAGTGCTGCTTGATCTTTTCCTCTAGTCCCACAGCATCTGCTCCTTGATATTGATCAATTCTCACTTTGTTTCGAAAAAATAGAAATGTAGGTGTTGCTGATATATTGTTGGTGGCAGCTGTTCCCTAGAATTGTCAAGTTAGATAGCATTATGAATCAAAACTAATCTTAAACCACTCTGAATATTCACTCTACATCTCTATGGAAGTTAAATATCACAAGCATGAACTAAAAACATGTAAAATAACTTACTCCTAATTGTTACTTAAGAAAAAACAGGCCTATTCTTAAGGGGCACAACTATATTACCCTTATGTCCGCAACAAAGAATAGCCCTGCATTTTTGTTTTGGTGTTAAGTGCTTCATCCAATAGAACAATCGGCTTCTAACACAGAAATTGCACTTTACAACACCAGACAGTTCTCTCATAAGTACAGACTGTTTCTCAAATGGAGAACCCCAGAAGGGTATTGAGATATGTCAACACAAACCACTGCTACTAGGAAAAAGTACACATCTGAAAAAACAGTAGCCCATCTGTCCGTGAAAAGGAGGTAACATCCTTTGCACTGCAATCCTCATCTAGTTCTATTCTTTTTTTTTTTTTTGCGGTATGCGGGCCTCTCACTGTTGTGGCCTCTCCCGTTGCGGAGCACAGGCTCCGGACGCGCAGGCTCAGCGGCCATGGCTCACGGGCCTAGCCACTCGGCAGCATGTGGGATCTTCCCGGACCGGGGCACGAACCCGTGTCCCCTGCATTGGCAGGCAGACTCTCAACCACTGCGCCACCAGGGAAGCCCTAGTTCTACTCTTAAAGAAATGACTTCTGGTCTTCCATCAAAAACACCACAATGGGTATCTTTTTAAATTCTGCTCCAACTCCACGAGATCATAAGACTAGCTACCGAATGAAAATTAATCAGTCACTGATTCATTAAACTCATTAAACTCTTCATGAGAAGTGTAAAGAAAATAGTAAAATAAGTATGTCACCTTGCATATTCAAACACTAGGAAGAGGTACCACTATATTGTTTTTTTAAAAAAAGCATAAAGTTTACAGAGATGTCTTCTCTAAGCCTCATTAAAAAAAATGACCTTTTAGAACAGTGCTGTCCAAAAGAAATATAATACAAGATACAAATGTGAGCTACACATGTAATTTTAAATATTCTAGTATCCACAAGAAAAAAGTGAAGAGAAACAACTGAAATCCATTTTAATAATTTATTTTAGCAAATCCAAATATGCAATTCAACATATAGTCAATGTAAAAAGTTAATGACATACTTTACGTATTTTATTTCATACTAAGCCTTCAAAATCCTATGTGTATTTTACAGCACATCTCAATTTGGACTTGCCACACTTCAAGTACTCAGTACCCAACCACATGTGGTTACTGTACAGGACCACACAGCTCCAGAAGACAGCACTTCCAGATCAGAGACAGTGAATACTTAAAATAAGGCAAAATAAGGCCAGGGCTGCTGTCCAGAAGTATGCGATATAAGTACTAAACAATAAACATGTAACATAGAGTTTGCACGAAATCCCCAAAATACTTATCTGCAAGCTATGTAACATTCTAAGATTTTTTTCCAACCCAGAAATGTATCAAAGACAAAAGCTTCACTGGAAAAAAAAAAAAAGTTACAGAGCTGTTATTTATGTATGTCCAAAGACTACATTTTTAGTGTTGGAAGAAGCCTTCAAAACATTTTTTTCTCTAACAATTCCTCCATACATCTAGATATGCAAATGCAGAACTGTCACACAGCCATGCTGACTAAGTAACCAGGGCAATCTACCTACAACACTGTGGCTCAATCAATAGTAACCAACATTTTAAACTTTCTGCTGAGTAAGCAGCTTTGGAGCTAGGGTTATAACTGATCAATTCAAAACAAACTATATCCAAGAATTCTCTGCCATGGCTTTCTAATCAACCAGTGTGTCTGTAGTACAAGATATAATTTTAGATTTACAAAAAAATAAACGAAGAAATGTAAAACACAGAACTGCCAGGTGACCTATTAAGTTTAACAACATAATATTAGTTTTGTACCAGAAAAATATTATTAGCAAACCCAGAAGCAATTAATATTGGACTACCCTTCTTAACTAATGCAGCCATAACAACATTTGTAATAATTACATTAACATAATATTATCCTACCTTCAAAAAAATAAGTACTTAGTGCATAAAGAGATAAAGGATGAAATTAATGCTGAATTTCAAATCAATTTATAAATAAAAAGACATTTTTTTAAGGACTCTTTGCCTTACCTGACACTGATGTACATCTACTTCCAAGAATACTGCTTGTGGATACTTATTACTCATAGAACTGAATGCTGGGGCAATCCTTAAACACGGTCCACACCTGTGAGAAAAGTAAGAGATGCTTGGTAAAATAACACCCAAGATTGTACTAATTTATACTCTAAAGATCTTGTCAATTAAAATGCAGAATTAAAAACATTCTGATCAACTTATCTTTAGACTTTCTTGTCTTTTCCACTGTACTATTTAGATACACTTGCATCAGTACCACACTGTCTTAATGACTACAGATTTATATTAAGTCTTTAAGTCTAACAGTGTTGTCTTCCAGCTTTCTTCTCACTGAACGAAATTAAAGATCTAAATAAATGGAGGAATATACTATACCTATGAACTGGAAAACTCAACACTGTCAAGATGTCAAGTCTCCTCAATTTGATCTTTAAAGTCAATGTAAAATTCCAAGGTTTGCTTGGAAAAATTAACAAATTTAAATTCTAAAATTTATAGGGAAATAAATATCAAGGATAGCCCAAGCATTTTGGGGTTCAAAGCTGAAGAAATTACATTACTAGATATTAATAACTACCAAAAAGCTTTATAAAATTAAGAGTATAAAGGATAAACAAACTCACCAATTTTAAAAGAAAAGGGTCCAAAAACAGACCCATCCCATACACAGTAACTGAACTTCTGAAAAAGTTGACACAGCAGTACAGTGGGGAAAGGATGGTCTTTTCAATAAACAGTGCTGAGTCAATATGGATATCCACATGGGGGGGAAAAATAATGAATCTTTACCCCTAACTCACACTGTACACAAAAAACAATTCCAGATGGATTATAGATCTAAATGGGAAAGGTAAAACAACAGTTTTAGGAAAAAAATAGAGGATACTTTCAAAACCTTGGAGTAAGCAAAGATTTATTTCTTAAAACACAAAAAGCACTAAAGAAAAAAGGGAAGAATTGATATGTTGGGATATACTTGATAAGCTGGAAAATATTAAGGTTAAGACCTTTTGTTCATCAAGATACCACTTAGAGGGTGAAAAGACAAACCACAGACTAGTAAAAAGTATCTGTAAAACATATCAAACGTAGGACTTATACCTCTAATATGTAAAAAAGCCCCTACAAATCAATAAGAAGACTGACATTCAAAAGAAAAAAGGGTACTCTCAAAATGGACAAATGAGGTTATCCAAACAGTCCATAAAGAGAAAAAGACTTCCTCGGTCACTATGGAAACCAGGGAAATGCAAATTTGGAGACACAAGAGGGAGGAGATATGTATATGTGTAACAGATTCACTTTGTTATAAAGCAGAAACGAACACACCATTGTAAAGCAATGATACTCTAATAAAGATGTTAAAAAAAATTTTTTTAATTAAAAAAAAATAAAACTACTCCCACCAAAACAGCTAAAACAATAGAGAAGGAAGTACTGTCAAGAACTTGGAGCAACTGACCTGTTAGTGACAGTGCAAACTGGTATAACCACTTCAGGGGGTAAGAAAAGAAACTGACAGTATCTGCTAATGCAAGATTTATGCCTACTTATGACCATTTCTAGGGTATATAAAACAGAAATGTCTGTATATGTTTGCCTTAGGGTTTTTGAAAAAATATTGGTAGTAGCAATATTTCTAATGGCCAAAAACTGGATACCACCTAAGTTCCTTTCAACAACAGAATAAGTAAACTAACTGTAGTTACTCACATACTGGAACACTACACAACAATGAAAATGACTGATGTAAAACCTCATGCCAAAATATGGATGAATCTCACAAATAACACTGAGAAGAGAAGTACACTATATGATTCCATTTATGTACAGTTCAAAGGCAGGCAAAACAAATCAATGGTATTATAAATCAGGACAATGGTTACTTTTGTGAGAGTTAGTGACAGGATAAGGGCATGAGAGAGATTTCAAGAGGCTAGAAATGTTCTAATTGTCCAGAAGCTGATTAAACGTGCATGTATATTCAGTTTGTGTAAACTCTCTAAACTATACATTTATAATTGTATACTGTGTATATCTCAATAAAAGTTCCAAAAAATGAGAAAAACCTTGGCTTTAGCAGATAGGAACACAAGGAAAAGCAAACTCTAAAATACAAGATTTTCAAATTCAAGCTATGATTCTCTCTCCATTCTTAACATTTTAATCAGCATTTTCACTTTTTGCCATCCTTAAGATTCATACCAAAAAGTTAAGAAAGTAATTCTTAATTTCTTAAATATTAAACTTGATCCTTCTGAAAGTAAATTTTTGGATCTAACAATGCTGAAATAGGGCCTGAGACTAAATTTTAAAGGAACAAACATTTACAGTCGACAAAACCTATGTTTAGTTTAGCAAAATACTTCTGGTTATTAATAAGTCTTAAACACTATGGATGGGAGTACAAATTGGTAGAGCCTTTTTGAAGGGCCATTTGGTCATTATATACCAATTTTAAATGAACACAACCCAAGAGTCAACAATCTCACTTCTAAAAGTCAATCTTATCTTAACACTTACTCAATTTCACAATAATATGTATAAGGAAGTTCAATGCAATGTTTGAAATAGTAAAAATAATAATAATAATCTAAATGGCAATCAATAGAAAACTATTTTTTAAAGTTATAACATAAAATAAGTTACAAGGATATATTGTACAACACGGGGAATATAGCCAATATTTTATAATAACTATAAATGAAGTGTAACCTTTAAAAACTGTGCATCACTATACTGTACACTTGTAACTTACATAATACTGTATATCAACTACACTTCAATTAAAAAAAATTATGACACATTCACACCAAAGGATAAGGATAATTTATACAGTTTAAAAGAAAACTAAGTCTCACGATAAAATATTTTCTATGACCATGTTAAAAATATGTATTTATATATGTATTTATATGTTATATATGTACATAAATATATATTGAAAAGTTAGGTGGGTCACACAATAAACAATTACTTCTGTAAAGTGGGACTAGAAAAGGAAGGGAGTTTAGGGGAGACTTTTAAAACTACCTATACTTCTGTATCCTTTGCTTTTATATGATAAACAGGTATTTTCATAAAATATTAAATTGCAAATAGAGAATTGAATGTTAACTGCATTTAAACAGTAGTCATGGATGAAGCACAGGTATCATGCTGTACCACAAAATATACCTGGTATACACACAGTATCAGGTTTTCTCATTCCTGAAAAACCTTCCTTCTGCAAAAGCATGCCTTCGAAAATAAGAAGGCTTATGGAAAAAATAAAAATTTAAAAATAAAAATTTAAACCCATGCAACTTTGTAAAAACATTCCTAAGAAAAATAGTAACTAGTATTCAGGAAATACCTGGACAGACAGGCAGGTGGCTCAGACCTAGAGGTTACACCTCAGAGGATATTTAAAGTGTACAAAAACAAACGAGTGGAAGTGCCCGCTTACAGGTGCTGTGAGTATCCAGATGGAAGGGGAGCTCTGAGCCCACGGGGCTGCCATCCAGGCAGGGAGAGGAGGAAGCAAGCACAACATGAGAATGACCCCCGCTGGGGACCAGGAGCTGGCTGCAGGAGCTCAGATGTAATTTTATTAATTTTGACTTTCTTAAAAGGAACCTGAAAGGGAGCCTGCCTCTGTGGCTGAGGGCTTTTCTCCTTCCTGCTAAAGGTTCTATTTCTATTCCTGCTCTTCACTACCTAAGAAAAATAGAATATGAACCAACCTCACCTACACACTGTACTGACATAATCACTCTACTCATCAATCAAGTATGAGCTACCTGGAGTTAAAGAAACTCTTCTTGAAGCTAAAGAGACTGTACTAAAATAATGGCTACCTTGAAAATAAGTGTTCCCTTTCAAAATTTAACCTTATCTAGATCCTTTGTTTAATTTTAGTTAGCCATCATAGGTTGGAACTTTAGTCAAAAATCAAAATAAATCATAGAACACAGAAGCATAGATATATACAGCAGCATACTTTCACATTATAATCACTCAAATGAACTGATTTGTTATTTTAAGTAAGATGTTTTCCTAGCTTACCCCTAGCATTTAAAAGTAAACTTAAAGTTCCATTTTTAGCTGAGATCATGAACAAATTATTTGATTTCTCTGTATAAAATGAGAAGGGACTAGATTCTTTAAGGACCTTTCCTATCTCTAAAATATTTTTCTCCAAGTATGCCTAAATTTCAGGATTGTACTTTTTTCTCTTGCACAGCCCTTGATTTGCAGTCTTTAGACAGTACATAACCTCAGGACCTTTGAACTTGTTGTAAAAGAGACCAGACCATCTAGTCCAGAGGCTTAAATAAGAAAGAAAGAAAGAAAGAAAGAAAGAAAGAAAAAAAGTTCTTTTTCCACCTCTGAACTTCTTTTTGATGGAAAGCTGATCTGTTAGGTCCAATATGTAAGAAAGATTCTGACTTATGCTTTTTGAGAAAAACCTCAGCAGACAACCCTCTAGCTTTCTGCAAAACGTAAAGAACCAAACCCACAAAACTGAAACTTTAAAACTGACCTAACCTAACACCATTATTCAATAAATGAGAAGTGAAGACCAGAAAAGTTGAACGACTTGATCAAGGTCAGACATTCCAGTTAATGGCAGGACCACAACTAGAACAGTCAAGTCCTAAAGCCAATCCAAGATCAGCTTTCTTTGAAAGCACCACGTTAGGTTCTTAGTAAGATTTGTGTTTACAGTTTTTCATAGTCTGCTGGATTAGGTATTATTTACTGATAAAACCTAAATACATAAAGGCTTTATATCAAACTAAAGATGTTTAAAAACCTAGCTGGAACAGAGAAAATGGAAGGAAATTGTTAATAGACATGTCATTTTCGGTTATGAAATCTATTTTTAACTTTTTAAGTTATAGAAAAGTCACTATGAAAATTCTTCATTTCTGTCTTCTGATACAAGCACCTGGTACCACACAGCTACCATGGAAATATTCTGTAAAAATTACTTTTAAGAAAAACTCTGCAGGATAAACAACAAGGTCCTACTGTACAGCACAGGGAACCATATTCAATACCCTGTGATAAACCATAATGGAAAAGAATATGAAAAAGAACGTATATTTATGTATAACTGAATCACTTTGCTGTAGAGTGGAAATAACACAACATTGTAAATCAACTATACTTCAATAAAATAAAAAAATGTGTGTTTACTGTCATAATATAAATAGATTTTATTTCAAGAACTTGCTATTCTTTCCTATTTGCTAAAGTAGTCAGTGCTCCACCTTGAGCAGTAATATGTGTAAACACATTCAGCTGGTGTGGGTGTGGAAAATGTATGTGCTTTCTGAAGATGTATTTTAAGTTTATTTTTCTGCGGGGCATAACTTTAAAACAGGTTATTTCTAGATGTCTTATATTTACTAATGGACAGGCATAACCATAACTGGTCCTATTAATAACACAAAATAGCTAACGTTCATTAAGCATTTATTATATGTTAGGTAACTTATAAAACGTTTAAATTCATTTAAGCTTTACCATTCCTCATTTCAAAGACAAGAACAATGAAGTACAGTGCTGAAATTTGATCACAAAATCCAACTCTTAACTGCTATTTCAAAACCCCCAAAACAGTGGCCTACATTGTGCTTTTTTGTTTTTTTGGTTGTTATTTCTAAATTAACTGCCAAGATTAAGACTATTTATATGCTCTTGAAAGGAATCCAGACAGATTACATACTATATGATACCATTGTTATAAAGTTCAAATACAGACGAAATTAGTCTACAGTGTTAAAGTTCGAGAGTGATGAGAAGGAGCCTGCAGGAGGTTGCCGGGGGTGGGGATGTGACTGTGCTATGCTGCTATTCCTGACCTGTGTATTGGTTAAACGGGTGTGATCACCGCGAAAATTTATCAGACTCTACACTTAAATGATTTGTATACATTTTTGCGTGCCTGCTACACTTTTTTAAATAAAAATATTTTTTAAAATTCTCTACATGTTCTCTAGGGCCTCACCATTCGCTAGTTATCTTACAGACACCCACCTCACTCCCTAATATTATCTGCCCAGTCCTTATGAACTGTTGGGCCTCCTAACTCTGTATTATGGTAAAGTACCTTCAGTCCACAGCAATTTTACAATATATAATTAATACTATTATACAATGTATTATTGGGACAAACTATCATAATCGTTAGATTTCACCATCCTAACGTACACTGACATTCTAACTGGATGGTAACAATAACACCTAACCAACTACAAAGTAAGACCTACTTTAAGAAAACTGAGAGAACCTACTGTATAGCACAAGGAACTCTACTCAATGCTCTGTGGTGACCTAAATGGGAAGGAAATCCAAAAAAAGAGGGGATATATGTATACCTATAGCTGATTCACTTTGCTGTACAGTAGAAACTAACACAACATTGTAAAGCAACTATACTCCAATAAAAATTTTAAGAAACCCAAAACTGAATATATGGTAAACATATCTACAAAAGTGGTACACTCATGAATTCAAGATAAAAATCACTCATTGCTGAGTTTCACAGGAAAGAAAATGCATATCCTTTTAAATTTGGCATTTACCCATCAGTGATAACAAAACTAGCACTGTTTATGACCACTTAAGCGTACCCGGGTATATTTAAGAAGTAATAGTTTGGAGATACCAGTTACAAAAATATGTTACCACAGTATATAATGCACATATATAATTTCATTCTCTAAACGATATGGTTCGTCTACATGTTATTATTCCCACTTTACAGGTAGGGAAATGAATATCAGAGTGTGAACTGAACTGACTTCCATCAAAGGATTTTGCAGGCAAAGCTTATTCAAGGCAACATTTACTGAAAAATGTCAGGCTCCACGCAATACAGAGGTGAACCTGCATGTCCCTTCTGCTTAGGCTGGGAAGAACAGGACAGCACTTCACAACCCAAAGAGTACATTCAACACTGGGACCTTAAACAAATCATTTAATCTCCTTCTGACTCAACTTCCTCATTTGTAAAATGGAGATAATTTTAAACATTATTTTGAGGACTGCAGAAGTCAATAAGTGCTCCAATAAGTCCCTTACACAGACCAAATTTGATGTAAGTGACAACTATTTTAATTGCTTAAAAAAATACTGGAGAAGGGTGCCATTCAATGGGTGAAAGACAGTTTTTTCAACAAATGGTGCTGGGAAAACTGGATATCCACATGCAAAAAAATGAAGTTGGACCTTTACTTAACACCATATATAAAAATTAACTCAAGATAGATCGAAGACCTAACTTAAGAGTAAAAACTATAAAATTCTTTGATGAAAACATAGGGAGGAATCTCCATGACACTGGATTTGTCAATGATTTCTGGAATATGACACCAAAAGCACAAGAAACAACAAAAGAAAAAACCATAGATAAATTGGACTTCAGCAAAATTTTTAAACTTTTGTGCATCAAAGGACACCATCAAGAAACTGAAAAGGCAACCAATGGAAGAAAATATTTGCAAATGATATATCAGAAAAAGGATTAAGACCCAAAATATATAAAGAACTCCTACAACTCCACAACAAAAAAACAAACAATCCAATTCAAAATGGGCAAAGGACTTGAAAAGACATTTCTCCAAAGGCAAATGACCAACGAGCATGAGAAAAAATACTCAAAATTACCAGTCATCAAGGAAATGCAAATCAAAACCACCAGATACCACTTCACACTCATCTAGGATGGCCACTAAAATATAAAAGAAGTTGGTAAGTAGAGAAATGGGAACTCTCCTGCATTGCTGGTGGAAAGGCAAACTTGTGCAGCCACCGTGGGCAAATAGTTTGCTGGTTTCTCAAAAAGTTATATACAGAATTACCATACAATCTAGCAATTCCACTCACAGACGTATACCCAAAAGAACTGAAAGCAGGGACTCACAGAGATCCTTGCACACCAATGTTCAGAGCAGTATTATTTACAATAGTCAAAAGATGGAAACAACCCAAATGTTCATCAAAAATATGCGGTATATACATACAACAGAATGTTGTATGTATATATACATATACATATGTATATGTACATATACATATACAACAGGATATTACTCAGCTTTAAAAAGGAAAATCTGACACATGCTAGAACATGGATGAATCTTAAAAACATTATGCTAAAATAAGCCATAAACAAAAGGACAAATATTATATAATTCCACTTAAATGAGTTATCAAGAATAGGCAAATTCATGGAGACAGAAACTAGAAGAGAGGTTACCAGGGGCTGGGGGCAGTGGAGAGAAGGTATGGGAATTACTGTTTAATGCGTGCACAGTTTCTGTTTGAGATAATGAAAAGATTCTAGGATATGGATGGGGTAATGACAGTACAACATTGTGAATGTACTAGAACTTCCCCGGCGGTCCAGCGGTTACGACTCCACGCTTCCAATACAAGGGGCGCGGGTTCGATCCCTGGTTGGGGAACTAAGATCCCACATGCCACGCAGCGCGGCCAAAAAGATTAAAAAATGTGTGTGTGTGTGTGTGTGTGTGTGTGTGTGTAGTGAGTACTTAATGTCACTGAACTGTATATTTTAAAATGGCAAATTTATGTTACATGTATTTCACTACAATTTAAAAAACAACCGAAATACTGGAGAGCCACTGAAGATTCTGAAACAGAAGAATGACAATCTGTATAGTGTTTTAGTAAAAATAATAGGATGGACAAAGCACAGCAGGTGAGAATAAGGAATAAGGCTTCAAGTAGGGATGGAAAGGAAATGGAAAAACAGGTGGTTGAGAAAACTATGTTCTTGGCCTAAAGTGGGATGACAGTAACTTTTCTCACTTCATATAAATCATGTATTACTCTTCATCTCTCCCCCTGCTATGGTTAAGGGGAAAAGAGAGTATATCATTGAGGCATAAAAGTATAAACACTCCCACTAACTAGAATTAGAAAAGTGAACTAAAAATGAGGTTCGTTGTTAAAATCATCTCTTCCTTTTTCCAACTTCCACCTAGGACTTAACAAATGTATATAGGTATTCCCTCATATTAAGAATGGTCATGATAAAATCAACAAAACTGGGAAGACGAACCTTAAAATCTAATGTATCCCCCCCTTTCCAATTCTGTATGAGAGAGATTGGTCCCAAGGTAAGTCCTAACTTGTTTTCATCTCTACCTACATCCCTCCATCCCCTAAACCTAATCTAATCCTAATGCCACCATCTGTATATTCAACATTTATAGAATCACGTTCGATAGGTTTGAATCACTTTTTGCTCTAAGACTCAAAACACTGCCTTATGTCTATACAGTTACCTGGACAACAAAATGTGTTGCATAAACAGTGGTATTTGTAGTAGATTTCTCCAAGTTAGTGTAAGTGTAAATAACACCAGGGGGTCAAGGTAGATCAAGAGGAGACTTCTAATCCTTCCCACTGGACACTGACATACACAAGGGGATGTAAGCAAATACACAAGCTCGCTGAAATCTTGGTTCTGAATGTCTATTTCCAGCACGTCACTCTCATACAGGGACCCAACATGGAAGAGCCGCCAGCTCTGCGACCTATGAATTATGTTGAGATTTACCAAAGCCAGATAACATCTTTCAAGTGCCCTGTCCTCTTAAATCATCAAGTCAAAAATGGAGTCTACTTGGTCAAAGCCAGATATCTGGACACCTGTCTACGTGTACTGTATATATATACCGACTATAATTTCCGTGATCAGATGCAACTTACACAAAGTGGCCTAACTTACAAACTTACAAATCAAAGAAGTAACAGAAACGTTAAGAAAATTAAAAAGCATCCTGACCCAACATTAACTTAATTTAAAATGCATTAGCTTTAGGTCTAAGCACTCCGCGGATTAGTTGGGTAGCTGAATCTTCCTACAGTTTTCCACATATGCAGGTGGTGAAGAGAATCAAACCGTTTGGGTAAATTAAAATTTGCAAGTTTCTAAGATGCAAGTGACAGCTGCATCCCGGGAAAGAAGGGGACAGGCGCAAGCAGGGGCGGCTGTGGGAGACTCCCACAGACAAGAAGGGAAAGAGCCGGGTCACCCCCAAGAGCAGACCCCTTCCGAGGACTCAGAAACAACGGGCGGGGATCTCGCGGGCTGGGGAATGCGGTCGGCCAGGCCTCCGAGCCTGCCAGAGACGCCCCGGTGCACAAACGGGGGTTCACACCCAGGAACTGAGGCCTAACCGGGCAGTGGCCTTGGGCTGCGGCCAGCGCCGGACATTCCGCAGCAGAACACGACCACAAGGCAGGCGGGATCGGGAAACAGAGAAAGAAAAGCACAGACAGCCGGGACTCACTGGGCTCGGGCCCGGACTCACCCTCGCATGGTGAACTTGACCACAGCGAGTCTGGAGCCCGCGCCGCTCAGCTCCGGCTGGAAATCCGGGTCACTCCCAACCGGCTTCACACCCACCATTCTCAGAAGTCTGGCAGGGCCGCAGCGAAGCCACCGGCTTCAAAACTGAAGAAGACCCGGGAGAGGAAGGAGGGAGGCTCAGGAAGGCCGAGGCCTGGGCAGAGGAGGTAGCGACCGCGGAGTCTTCTCCTGGGGCTCTCAATGCCGAGTCACGCCAGGGAGCGGAGCGGCCGTGGGGGCGGGGATGGGAGCGGGGGTAAAAGGCAGAGGCGAGGAAAGGGAAGGCGTGCGGCACCCGGCAGCCACCGCGCAGCAGGGCCGCCGGCGCTTACGTACCTTGACGTCATTTCCGTGCCGTCCGTTTGCTCCCACTGTCCAATCCTAAAGCGCAACCCGTGGCCCCACCCTCGACTGAGGAGCTCCTCATTGGCTGGAGCGGCGCAGGCGCAGAAGAGGAGCGGTCACAGGCACAGGCGCAGGCGCAGATTGCACTTAAGTGCGTGTATTCCTCCGCGGTTCGGAGACCAGGGTGTTTCACCGAGGAGTTTCCCTGTGGGAAAGTGAGAAAAGAATCGTTTTTTCTCCGGGGTTCTTGGCTGTTGCCTAAGGTATTAAGTTCCCTCCTGGAAATACTTTGAGTATAGTCCTGTCTCATATTCGGGACAAGTCGCCACACTAGACAAAGTAGACTTTAGGAACATTTATTTAGGGATCTCATTACACTTGGGCGCTCTCTGGATAGTCATGCGGCAAATACTAATGTTATTCACCTTTCACTTGTGCCTAAAAACATGAAAACACCGTCTCTCCTTTAGGAACTCACAGTCTGGTGATAGACGCAAACAATAGTTACAGTAACAAAGAAGTTTGCAAAGGAAACGGTGGAAACAAATGAGATAGGATGGGGCAGGATAAATTTGCTAGGCGATGTGACCCCTGAATCGAATCTTGATAAGGAAAAAAGAAGGGCATAGCCAGATGGTAAGAGATGATAGGGTACTCCAGACCGAGAAAGCAGCAATGCAAATGCAATGCATGGGTTGAGAGGGATGGGGATGATGATGATGATAATAATAATAATAGTTAACAAATTATGTGCCAGGCAACATCCAAGCTCTTTATGTGTATTAGCTCATTTAATCCTCACAACAGCCCTAATTTTCCAAAGTTCACACACCTAATGCAAAGTCAAGCCGGTGTTCAAGTTAAGGCGGTCTAACACCATAGTGTTCATTTAAATATTAGGCTAGGAGACAAATCAAGTAATTTACCTTTGCTTTTAGCTGGGGTGATGAAATTGAAGAGGAAGGTGAAGGTCAGATAATAACTAGGAAAGGAATTTGTATTTTAACATGAAGACAATGGAGTGGTCACTGCAGGACAATTTTGTGGTTACAAGTGTCTTTAGAAAAAGCACGGGAGGGCTTCCCTGGTGGCGCAGTGGTTGAGAGTCCGCCTGCCGATGCAGGGGACACGGGTTTGTGCCCCAGTCCAGGAAGATCCCACATGCCGCGGAGCGCCTAGGCCTGTGAGCCATGGCTACTGAGCCTGCGCGTCCGGAGCCTGTGCTCCGCGACGGGAGAGGCCACAACAGTGAGAGGCCCGCGTACCGCAAAGAAAAAAAAAAAAAAAAGCGCGGGAGATAGCAGTGAGGACGAAAAGCAGTGGAACTCCACTTTAGGAGTTCACTGTGGTACTCCAGGAAATGACTTACAGGAGCAGCTGCAGTCAAATGATATACTTGAGAAACAATTAGAAGATAAAAACCACAGGGTTGAGTGAGCAGTCAGACCAATTTGGTGAGATGACGAAGGAGTCTAGGATAATGCAAATATTTCAGTCTTCTGGCTCTTTTTACTGATATGAGATGTCAGAAGGACATCCAGGTGAGGTGTATGTTAGGTAGTGGGAAGGATGAGTCTGAAAGTAAAGAAAGGAGTAGGCTAAAGCTGCAGAGTTGAGAGTCATCAGTTTGGGTGGTAATTGAAGCCCAAGAAATGTGAAAAGAGAAGCCTAAGTGTGCTGCAGAAACATAATTATTCCTAACTGAACACAGCCAGAGCCTTAGTAACTCTGTTCCTTTCTCATGTGATACCAGAACAGTGTAATGGCTTTAGACTCAAAGAGACAAAATGTTCAATAATAAATCTCTGCTACTTATTATTTTGTGGCCATGGACAAGCCACTAACCTCTCTGAACTTCACTTTCTTGTCCATGAGAATTGGATTAATAATACCTACTTTCTAGGATTGTGAAGGTTAAAAGTAATAGTAGATGAGGTACATAAAGAACTAGAATATAAGGTGCTCAATAAAAGATATTTATAAATAGTGGTGTGTTAGGGCTGCCATAACAAAATGCCACAGATGGGGTGACTTTAACAGAAATTTGTTTTGAAGCTCTGAAGACTGGAAATCCAATATCAAGGTGTCAGCAGGGTTGGTTTCTCCTAAGGCCTCTTTTCTTGGCTTGTAGATAACCACCTTCTCACTGTGTCCTCATGCACACACACAAGCATGTACACTCCTGATGTCCCTCTTCTTATAAGGACACCAGGTCTATTGGATTGGGGCCCACCCTCATGACCTCATTTAACCTTATTACCTCCTTAAAGGTTTTGTCTCCAAATATGAAGGCTGGGAGTAAGAATCACTCCTGCCTGTTAGTAGAACTCCTAACCTACTGAGGCTGTCCTTGGAGAAACACACTGCTGTAAGAGATCCTAACACAATCCGGAGATGCAGGCCAGGTGACAGTTGTTGTCCCTATTCTACTGATGACAAGACTGACTTTCGAAGAAGTATGTAAGTATTCCATTATACAATTATGCACTGCTTAGCCCTGTCAAGGTTATGCTCAACATTATACAGAAACAGACTTTATATATGTAAATGGAAACATTTAGCAGATGTTATTACAAGGTGATGCTCTTAGGGGTGATTTTTTTCTCATCAATATTTTCTAAATTTCTTCACTAATTATAAATAGTATATGTAATAATAAAAAAAAAAAAAGGGCACATCTAGAAAAAAATCCTACACGAGAATTCTACAAAGGTCCAAGTTTCTTCCTTGCCCTATTAGTAATAACTAAAACAAAAATAATATTCACAGTTAATCGGTCTCCCTGTGTCATTTAACTAATGCTTAATTTCATTAAGTAAAAGAAGATTTTAGTGGATGGAATTTTCCCAAAAGATGTTACTGTTTTTCTTCTAAATTTGTATATGCCACCCTGAAAATCTGGAATTACCATGAAAAAAAAAAACAAAAAACCCAAATTACAAACCCTAAAACCTCTGCAAGAGTGACTTGTGATTATCCTTATCTCTCCATTCCCGAGATTAACATATTCAGAAATGTCAAATATGCTGCACATAAACTCCTCCTACCCCTTCCCTGACTTGGCCATGGCATACACCACTATTAGAGGCTACGGTTTCCCAGAGTCTCTGCCTCAGAATTGTGTTTGGCCCCCATTACCAGAGTCAGCCCTCAAGATAAAATCTGTTTGCCATCCCACTCCTTATTATGACTGTCATACCCTGAAATTCATAGTTCTCAAACTGCAGTGAATTCATTAACATGTGGGTTCCCAGTTTCACAGCCAGAGATTCTGATTCAGTAGAGCTGGAGCATGGCCCAGGAATCTAAATTTTAAAAAGCACCCAGGGTAGCTGATGCAAGGGGTCCATATTTTGTGAAACATTATTCAATGATGACTTGTCTACTATTATATAACATTTACCATTCACTTACTATGTACAAGGTACTGTGATGATGCTTTTTTTTTAAACATATTTATTGGAGTATAATTGCTTTCCAATGGTGTGTGAGAATGCTTTGAAACACCACTCCTCCAGGGACATCACAAGGGAGACAAGACATTTCTACAAAAGCTAAAAAGGTAGTAAGTGCCATAGCAGAAATATAGATAATATATCATAGTAGTTCCGAAAAAGTAGAGAAAATTTTCAGCTGGAATGAGTATATAATGCTTTATGAAGGAAGGTGTTCTACTAGTCAGACCTAGAAAAACACAGGAAGGAAATGCATGAACTTCTTCACTTCACAGAAGTGACTCCTGACTTTCCTCTTAACTCATCAATAATATAATTTGCTTCCAACTCACTTGTTCTTACCAAGTTCTGCCACTCAGTAGAGAAAGTCTTTCTGTCATGACTTGTAGCTGCCATGGTTCACTTTAACTGATTTTACAAATACATACGTTAAAGATATATCATACGTGGCTTTATCTCTCCCATAGTCCTTTGCACATAGTAGATACAAAATAAGTATTGGTCAAATGAATGAATGATTAGGAAGCATAATGAGTATGAATCTCAGTCCACAAAAATCAGGTGTACAAAAAATATTACTTTGTGTTGTATAACTCAATTTCATTTTGACTCTTAATTCCCGCTCTCTCACCACATCCAACTAGAACAAAAACTTAACATTCTCTACTCCTCTGCCTACATCAGAAATTGTACCACATTTCTGGGTTTCGGTTGGGAGTGGGGCTTTGGAGTGCAGCTCTCTAAAATCACTCTCTCTGTCTGCTTACTCTCTGCGGGTCGAGCCCTCCCTGCGTCATGTGACCACTTCAGCAAGCAGGACATTTGGCTGAGGCTGCCTATGGACCCAACTGCCTGGATACACCAAGGTTAGGGTCAGGGTTAGGGAACGGGTACGGTTTAGGGTACAGGTTAGGGTACGACAACGGTTAGGGTTAGGGTTAGGGAACGTGTTAGGATACGGGTTAGTGTTAGGGTACAGGTTAGGATTAGGGTACGGGTTAGGGTAAGGGTTAGCATTAGGGTTAGGGTTACGGTTAGGTTTAGGGAACGGGTACGGTTTAGGGTACAGGTTAGGGTATGACAATGGTTTAGGTTTAGCGTACGTGTTAGGGTACGGGTTAATGTTAGTGTACGGGTTAGGATTAGGATATGTGTTAGGGTAAGGCTTCAGGTAAGGGTTAGGGTTAGGGTTAGGGGATGGGTACAGTTTAGGGTACAGGTTAGAGTACGACAACGATTTAGGGTTAGCATACGTGTTAGGGTATGGGTTAGTGTTAGTGTACGGGTTAGGATTAGGGTACGGGTTAGGGTAAGGCTTCGGGTAAGGGTTAGGGTTAGAGTTAGAGTTAGGGTTAGGGTTAGGGAACGGGTATGGTTTAGGGTACAGGTTAGGGTACGACAACAGTTTAGAGTTAGCGTACGTGTTAGGTTACATGTTAGTGTTAGTGTACGGGTTACAATA